TCCATAAACTCGGATCAGTTCAAAGGGAATCGGCTTAGAACGGTTGAAATGTAATTCCTTTAAAAAGTATTGATGCCGGGTCGTCTTTCGAATTGAAGACATGTATCAATGGAACCTCCGGCTGCTTCTCCTTCACCCCATTCAATCTTTCAACTCTGAACCTCAAGTACACCGAGCCTTAACGAAGACGTTATTTGTTAAACTTCGAATCTAGTTCAGCGAAACTGACCGGTGAATAGGGGAGAAAATAAAGATGAACTCGTGTCACGGAGATACTCGATTAATGCGAGGCCTATGTTGGTTTTTTTGACAGCCATTGAAAAGATGGTTATACGCAAATACAATATAAGCGAGGACGACTTCAAGATCATGGAAACAGTGGTGCTGAAGACGGAACCTCATAAAGCCGGTCAACAGTGGAAGTTCGCCGGAGCGTTTTATTATGCAACCACGGTCCTCACGACTATCGGCAAGTATTCGACGAAATATCATTTTCCATCATGCTGTCACTGTTAAAAGCTATTTCACATTTAACATCCGTCCATACGATTGCATACAAATGCAGACGTCTGAATATTATTCAACCCTTACGAGAGATGTTAAATCAAACAGAAAAATTTACTTACAGACAGATTCGTGAAACATGTTACGTTTAAACGTATTATGAGAAATCAAAATATAGAAATGATTTAATTTATAATTTTCTGTAGTAATCTTTACTGTAACAAAATAATCATTTTGTACAGTTAATAGAAATTTTCTTTAGAGATACTTTCTACGGATATTTCGAATATTTTTATGCTAATTTTCTGTAAACACTTTTTGCATAAATGTTGTGTTCAATACGAACTCACGATGCATGAATGTAATCATTGAATTATGGAACAAGCATTTACATCGGAATCGCGATACAATTTTCAGGTTACGGACATTCAACGCCGAACACCATAAGCGGTAAACTGTTCACGATGTTCTATGCGATCGTCGGAATCCCGCTAGGACTCGTAATGTTCCAGAGCATAGGAGAGCGTTTGAATAAATTCTCGTCCATCGTAATACGGAACGTAAAGAAGCTTCTTAACTGTAAAGATGTCCAGGTAATGCTACGAATTCCATTTACCCAGCGCATACTCTGCATGAGAGAACGACTGCGATATTGACTCTAATCAAATCCGAAGTTTGAACGAGTTCAACTGAACCCGTATGTCGCGACTCGCGTACAGATTCTTCTCACAGAGTTAGATATATCGGATTTCTGAAAAATCACTCGTGGAAGTGTATAAAATTTAAAGTGTTAATTTTTCCAAGCAGTAAAGAAACCAAAGATGTTTTAATTTAAGTTCAACAAGGAAAGAGTATAATTACACGAAGCACAGTATTGAGTACCCTGGTCCCCCGTTGAGTTTATCCGAACTCGGATGAAACTACGTAAGCATGACCTACGCGTGTCTCAGCAAATTTTACTACACCATACATAAAAAAATACTTGTGTCACTGGAACGACGTAATTATAAACTTCTTAAAGTAGTTTCACCAGAAACTAGTTGGCCATAAAAAATTGCACAAGTTGCTCGGAAGATTTCGTTAATAATTACGCCGAGCTTTTTCCCAGGTTAGGGAAGTTAAAATATTCTATTAAATATATGATAAAATATTCTCGCAAGGAAGAAGACAAAAAATAGAGAGTCAATATCGTATCTAGAACGGTAGATCGTAGATGCTTAATTAAAATTCAAAATTGTTATGGAATGATTATAAAAAAATGGAAATCTATTTGAATGTGTACTAAACAAAACGAAAAAGAAGTTCAACTAATATTGATAATCAAATAAAATTCAAGTTCCTTAATTGTAGATAATGTCCATAAAAATTGTGTACTTTTCAGGCCTCTGAAATAAACCTTATCTGCGTGGTGACAACCTTGTCTTGCTTAACGATTGCGGGAGGTGCCGCGGCGTTCTCTAGGTATGAGGGGTGGTCATACTTCGATTCCATCTATTATTGTTTCATTACACTGACAACCATCGGCTTCGGCGATATGGTCGCGCTGCAAAAGGACAACGCGCTAGACAACAAACCCGAGTACGTGATGTTCGCCCTGATATTCATACTGTTCGGCTTGGCTATCGTCGCAGCCTCTCTCAATTTATTGGTCCTGCGATTCGTCACGATGAATACCGAGGACGAGAGGCGGGACGAGGCTGAAGCTCTACAGGTAAGAGCCTTTATAAATCCCCTTATTGTTAAATACAGAAATAAATCATCGAAGACTTTTAATGGATCGCGACCTACTCACAAAGAACTCGGAGGGAAATTGCTTTAGCAGCTTTATAAACGTACAGTTAGTCACGGAAGTCTGTAACATAGGTAAAATTTTAAATACTCGTAACGAAAAAGAGATTTTGGATATTTTAAGGCAGTAGAGTCTGAAACTTATGTTTTCTTCAAGTTCATTAAAGAAATCCAACGAGTTCTTTTTCTTCCTCCTTTTCATTGTAAATTCAACCGGAAAGTTAACGAGTTATTAACCCTCGAATGACGAATATCGTTTCAACCCTTAATATATATAGATTTCAAAAAGGAATTCTACATTAAATTTTACATAATACATCCACATCTATGCACAAGCAAATAATTATATAAATCAATAGATAAATAAATATACAACTAAAACGACTACCGCCAAATGAAAACTACCCCGCATTCGTCACACGAGGGTTAATACATTCGTTAGCTCAATGCCCTCATCATCATCCCCTGCGTCGAATCGATACAAGAAAAAGCGTCCTGCTACCCCCTTACGGTTACGTCTAAAAGCCGCTAGAACAATCCCAAACGAGCAAAACAGAAAAGAAAAACGACGGAATCGTTCAAAGACATTTAAATAGCTTAACAAAACAACGGCAAACAACATATCCGTAGCGTATAACAAACTCGAAAAAGAGAAAACAGAACGGCGAGGAGAAAAAAGAAATCGCAATTGTTATGACGCAGGCTGCGCAAGAAGCACCGCGCCTGGATGGCGACGTAATAATGGCGAACGGCTCGATACTGTCGGGCCAAATAGGCAACCACGGTGACACGATATCGCTGGACGACGACACGTCGGTCTGCAACTGCCGCTGCAGCGGCTTCCAGAAGAAACGACGGAGACCACGGTTCACGGTCCGCCGCTCGCCCGGTAAGATCTCGCACCTGCTGCCGATGCAGCAGCTGCCCACGCTGAATATACACACCGAGCATTGCGCGCCGCCCCCGACGCCGTTGCTGCAACTGCCGCCGTTGTATCAACATCGAGCCAGCATCTGACGATCGTCGATCGTCAGCTTGATGCCGCAAGAACTGCCGCGACGGGTCTCCGTCTGAGACTTCATCGGACGAGAATGGGATAG